TCCCTGGCAGTGTTCAAGGCCAGGTTGGACACAGGGGCTTGGAGCAACCTGCTCTAGTGGAAGGTGTCCCTGCCCATGGCAGGGGTTGGAGCTGGAGGAGCTTTAAGCTCCCTTCGCACATGAACCTTTCCTTGATTCTGTGATTCTGTGATCTGCAGCCTGCATCTTTAATTCTTCTTGTGTTTAACTCAGAACTGCAGAAGTGTAGGTTTCTCCCAAAAAGAAAGTGAGGTTCAAAAGCTGAAGGAAGTTGAGAGTGTTGAATTGGGAGGAAAGGGGGGATTCCCATGGGATACTCCCACAAACTGCCAGCCTCCAAAGCTGTGGTGGGCTCCTGATGGAAGTTTGAAGGTCAGAATGTCATTGTTCAACCTACTGCTCTAACAAAGCACTTAAGCCTGTTCTTTATAACTTAAATACAAGAGTAAGCACTTTCCTTTGGTGTATCTACAGAGTTAAAAATGCTGAGCCACATTCTGCTCTTTCCTCACAGTCTCCCCACAAACACATTCATTTCATAGGATTTGTGACTGAACGCTTGATTTCCTCCCCTTCACCTTGTGCCTTGTTTCCCCAGAACTTATTCATCAAATGGATGAGCTGAACGATGAGCTGCTAAAGAAGATCACAAACAATAAGATTCAGCCTCCCCATCGGAATTTCAAAGTGGAAAAGCCTCAGCAGGTTTTTGTGCCCCTCACCTTCGAGTCCAGCACCGAAGAAGTCAAAGCCTGGCTGGAGGCAAAGTCATTCAGCAAAGAGTAAGATGTGGTTTACTGCTCTCTGAAATGCTGATCCTTCATGTAGAAAGGAGTGGGGGAGGCAGCTTGCAACATTTCACATGGTTTAGAAGTCACTCATATTTACTTACAGAGTCTGTGTTGCAAATTAGATTTCCATCATATTAAATCCAGGCTATATTTAATGTAACGTATTAAATTCAGAGCACAAACTTACTCCCTTTCTTCCTTCTACACTATCAAGTAAGCCTTGTATTGCAGAGCAGCAAAAGACCTAATGTGTAGCTAAATAAAGGAATGGTCTTGCTTATTCACACAACTCTCAGCCCAGCACTGCACAACATCATACCACTGGTGCTTGTCTGGTCCCAGTTTGCCAGTTCAAAGTGCTGACCTTAGAGAGAAATAACTGGTGAAGTAACTAAGCACATGGCCTGAAATGCCAATTCCAGGTGACTCCCTGTCTCTGGAAAAGCTGCTCTAGTGGAAGATGTCCCTGCCCATGGCAGGGGATTGGAACTGCGTGAGCTTTAAGGTCCCTTCCAACCCAAATCAGTCTGGGATTCTCAGCTGTCCTAAAAAAGAAGAGCCAGACCCTCAGCTGGGACCAACAAATCCTCCAGCCACCAGCACAGCACCAAGAAGCTGTGCATGGTCAAGGGTTAGGAGCTACAACCCACACTCTGCACAGGGAGCCAAGAGGAGCTCCAGGATTGCTCCTGAAACACAACATAGCTGGAGTGAAATCACTGCAGTACCCATAGGGCTGCGTACACAGTGGGTGCCAGGGTGACACGTGGCTTCACCCACTGCAATACCCATGGGGCTGGGTACATAGTGGGTGCCAGAGTGACACATGGCTTCACCCACTCCTCATGTCTTGCCATAAGTACCAAGAGCTTGGGTTACCCAACAGCTGCCACCCTGGCACAGCCCCAGGGCCTTGTGTGTGATCTACTCTTGGTGCAGGACCTGCACATCACCTACTCCAAGCCCTTTCATCTCTGACTCCTCACCTTTGGCAAGAGGCCATGTGTGACACAACCACCATCTCACTTTGTGTCTTCCCAGGACAGTGGAACACCTTGGGATCCTCACTGGAGCTCAGCTCTTCTCCCTCAACAGAGAGGAGCTGAAGAAAGTATGTGGTGATGAGGGCAACAGAGTCTACAGTAAAATCACTGTGGAGAAAAACCTGCTGGAGGTAAGTAGCTTTTGGGACAACTCCTACCCAAATGGGTGCCTGTACCATGGGGTGGCAGGTACCCCATTATACACACATTTCACGAAATACAACTTTAAAAACCCCAACAACCACCCAAAAACCACACAACCTGAAAGGTCTTTTAAGCCAAAAGGCCGCAGATCTACAAGGCAGATCACCCTGTCTCCACTAGTAAACCTCCCCTCTTTGGTATCACTCACCCCTATGAAATCAGCTCTACTCTTCCAGCATTAAATACTATAATTTAAGTACAGCTTGAAGTTCAATTCAACCTTCCTGTTTTGTTCCCATTCCAGAAGAGCAGAGGGGAGTCCGAGCTGCAGGAGATCATGAAGCGCCGCCAGGAAAGGATTGATTCTGCTAATTAAACTCTCTCTGCTTTAGTTGAGCTCTTAGTCATAGTAGTGCAGGAAAAGGGAATGACAGCAACGACCCCTGCTCCAAGTGAGGGACAGCAGTGCTGCACTTAGTGTGCAACTGCCATCAAAGTGACACTTTCATGAACACTGGTGAGAAGGGTAGACAATAAGACCATGTTCCGCTGGGAAAGGTGTTTTAATATTGCATGGAGTATTTTTTTTTTATATATAACTATATATTTTATACTGAAATTTTATGTGCATGCAACAAAGCAGATGAGAATTCACACACGTAGCTGGATGTATGACAATGGCTGGATTTGAACTACAAACACCCCACAAAGCTTCTCTGGTAGGGCTGTCCCTGCTCCCACCCCCGTGGCTGGCATGGCTTGGGAAGAGCAGGCATGGCACACACAGGGAATGAGCCAGCTTGAATGTTTAGTCTGGACCACAGGAATAAGTCTTTTCCCCCTCACTTTGCATTTGCTTCTCCATGGCAGAGAGCCCCTGTCAAGCCTTTGTGAGAACTCACTGTCCTCCTGTGCCCCCATGTCCCCTCGTTGGATGAATTGCAGCACTCAGGATCAAAGACTGGCTGTTTCCTTCCTGCACCGGTTACTATTGCCTTCAAACAGTGGCAATGGGCTTTCATTGCACAATGGGCAGGATCCAAGTGATTTGAATCTACAAAGAGGTGAGCTCAGGCTCAGCAGCAGGAAGACGTTAGAATTTCTTCCTACTGTCTCATCTCAATCTCCCTGCTTTCAGGTTAAAGCCATTCCCCCTTGTCCCGTCCCTACAGGCCCTTGTAAAAAGTCCCTCCCCAGGGCCTGGAGGGACAGCACAAGGGGAATGGCTTGAACCTGCCAGAGGGGAGACTGAGATGAGCTCTGAGGCAGAAGCTCTTCCCTGGGAGGGTGCTGAGGCGCTGGCACAGGGTGCCCAGAGAAGCTGTGGCTGCCCCATCCCTGGCAGTGTTCAAGGCCAGGTTGGACACAGGGTCTTGGAGCAACCTGCTCTAGTGGAAGGTGTCCCTGCCCGGGGCAGGGGGTTGGAGCTGGAGGAGCTTTAAGGTCCCTCCCAACACAAACCATCCTATGAATCTATGACCATCCCTGCCTGCACACAGGCCAGGGCTCAGGGCAGCCGTGCAGCCCATCACCTTGGCACTGATCCTGTACCACAGAGCTGCAGCACTGCCAAAGCCAGGCCTGAGACAAGCTGAAGAGAAGCCCTTGCTATTTGCTCCCAACCTCGTCCCCACCTTCATGTTTTCATTGCAAAGAGCAATCTGAAATGCTTCCTAAATACCTAAGAAACAGAAGCACTCTTGGAAAGGGTTTTAATACAGAGTAAATGGCCACAAGACAAAAAAAAAAAAACAACCCACCTAATTTAACAGAGGCTGTTGTTCTTTGCTTCCTGTTTTACTTAATAACATTATGTGCATATGCACGTGTATCTAGTGAAATACCCCCCAATTCTTACAATCCAAAATAGGTATAAAGAAAAAATCCCTTTCCCTTGAGACATAAGTAAGGGATTATGCAACAGTAATTTAATCAAAGCTTTAAAACCTCAAGCAAGCACCTATCAGATTTCCTATCCACAGCCAGTTTGGCACAGGCTGTATTTAGATTTGGATTTTACTTCCAGACCAACTTGGCAGGGATGCAGCAAAGCAAACACATCTGCAGGAGCTGCTCACTTTGTCTTTCTCCTTCATTCACACACCTTAAGTTTGGCTGAATGGGAATTCAGCCCCAGACTCCTCAAAGCCTCACACGTGCTTTCCTTTACCTGCCGGCAGTGGTCCCACCTCCTTTAAAGCTTAAGCACATGCCTAAGTCTTTGCAAATTTAATGGAAAGAGCCATGCTGCTGTGAAGCAGGGACTGGGAAACATGTGTCTAAATCTGACAACACTGATGCACCTCTCAATTTTGGTTTTGTTCTTCCAAAAATGATATATTTTCCTCATCTTGAATTAGAACATGGTTAGCACCAGCAGCAGGAGGCTGCACAAAGGGAATTCACAGGGGAGGAGTGTGGTTTATAGTCACTGGCTCACTGCAGCAGCTGGAGTTGAGAAAGGGCACTCACCTTGTCAGGGAGGCATGAAGAGGCCAATCCTCCTGAGCAGCCCTGGCTCTGGGTTAGGGTGAAGATGGGAGGCAGATGTTGAAGCACAGGAGGCTGGATCATTTCTAAAACGAAAACAAAACCAAATGGTGAGGTAGGGAACACAGCCCTGGTCTTGCCTTTGGGTATACAGGAAGAGAAATCACACGGAATTAGTGTTACTTGGGTTTCTAATAGAGGTGGAAAGCTGGGAGCCACGGGGGCCTTTCATAACATAAATGTATCAGTAGACTTTATGCAGAAGTCACTTTTAAAATCTCCATATGACTGAGCTGTGCATCTGTTATATTTGTACTGCCTGCAGATAAAGCTATAATGTACTGTACATTAATGTAATTGAACAAAGGATAAAATGATATAACCATGCACTGTATAAGATTTATTAAAATAGTTAAGTTATACTTATAACTCTGGCTCTGTGTCTTTCACTTGGATATAAAACACAAAAGCAGTTGTTAAGGGCTGGCTTTTCATAGAATCATAGAATAGTTAGTGTTGGAAAGGACCTTAAGATCATCTAGTTCCAACCCCCCTGCCATGGGCAGGGACACCACACACTAAACTATGTCTCCCAATGCTCTGCCCAGCCTGGCCTTGAACACTGCCAGGGTGTTCAAAGAACAACAGAGTGGTTTGGTCTGGATGGGAGCTTAAAGCTCCTCCAGCTCCAACCCCCTGCCACGGGCAGGGACACCTTCCACTAGAGCAGGTTGCTCCAAGCCCCTGTGTCCAACCTGCCCTTGAACACTGCCAGGGATGGGGCAGCCACAGCTTCTCTGGGCACCCTGTGCCAGCGCCTCAGCACCCTCCCAGGGAAGAGCTTCTGCCTCAGAGCTCATCTCAGTCTCCCCTCTGGCAGGTTCAAGTAATGTAACAACCTGTCCCTGTGAGACTGAGATACTCATGGGAGTATCTGAAACTGTGTTTCCTTTTGTCCCTGGGGGAATGTCATTCACAAGGAAGGATGTTACAGCCTTGATAACCATTCCTGTCTATAACCAGGGGGAGATGAAAATCACTCCTACAACAGCAGTCAAGTGCTGGGAAAGCCAAAACATCCCCGTGCTCATCATCCTAAAGAAGAGATTTCTCAGAGCTCTGGAACATGCAACTGAGCCAACACACACAGATAGTGCCCAAGGCTACATTTTGCACTGGCAAGCTAAAAACGGGCAATGCCAGCTAATGCAGGACTCGGAACAAAGCAAAGGGAAGGGATATACAAAGGAGCCTCTCTTATCCCTTGGCAAAGGACTCTGGAGACAATGAGAACACGTTTCCTACATGATGACAGGATTCAAACAGGACTTAAACCCAACGCCTCTTTCCATTATCCTCTCTTTGGGTAGAACAAAGCACCAGAAGGTTGTACAAAAGCATGTTCTTATATATCAGGAAGGGAAATTACCATGGCAGCGTCCACAGTTGAAAACAAGACAAGACAAAACGAGGGGAACAGTGTGATCTGAAGAGCTTCTCCTTAAAGGCCAAGTGGCAGACTCTGCAACATTGCCCTCCAAGTCCCATCCTCAGTTTTGGAATCACAATCCTGTTAACAGCATTGCCTTCTCTTACACGAACACATAGGGCGGATAAACAGCCCTGTGCCCCCAAGGATGCATGCCTTGCCGGGTTAGGGGCTCTCCCCGCGGCAGAGCAGGCTGGGGCCCTGGCTT